TGCGCCGGTTGCGCAACCCCCTATCGTGCGCATCCCCAGCCAGATCTCGGGTTCCAATCGCGAAGGCATGTCGAAGGCTCGTGTCTACACCGATGTCAACGTTCTTCGCCCCAAAGAGTACTGGGACTACGAGTCTCTCACCGTTCAATGGGGGTAATCTTATTCCCAACCCTATCCATTTCTTTTTCTTTCCCCACCTTTCTCTTAAGCCTCCATTATACTCAATTCACAATCAATACACAATTCAACCCTTTTAGGTTTCCAACCCAGTCTTCGCCCCCCCAACTTTCCTACATGTTGTTTTTTTACTTTCATTTTTACTCCATTTTCAATACCTAGAGGTTCAACTATTGTGTCGCATTCTTTTCAAATTTCCATATCTAACGAGGTATGCCTAATGATGCTGTTTCTGTTATCAATTGATTCGATCTCTTGTTGCTATGTTCCGTCTGTGGTATGAACACAGTAGCTTATCGACTATGGAGAATCACCTCCACCTTGTGATTTGAAATTGGTTGATGGCATTTATTCGCTGGATTCTGATGTTAACAACTTGTGAATGTTTGTGATTTTACTGACCAAGGTTCATCAGTATGTTATGTATTTAGGTCTAATTGTTATGAAGCTTTACATGTTTTTTTTCAACTGTTATTGATGAATGCTATGTGTGCTCTTTTCAGTGATCAAGATGATTATGAGGTTGTGCGGAAAGTGGGAAGGGGGAAGTATAGTGAGGTTTTTGAAGGCATAAATGTTAATAGCAATGAGCGCTGTATAATCAAGATTCTCAAGCCTGTCAAGAAAAAGAAGGTGAAATTTTGTTTTTACATTGATGTTTGTTTTCAACCTTTGGGACCTAGACTATGAAATATGGATAAAGCCAACCAGGGGTACTTCTTCAGAACTATTCTCCTAAAATTTGTTGGAGAGTAATTTACGCCTAGTTTCTACTTACTCCTCACCATTTTCTTGTGAGCTATTGGATAACAATTGGACCACTCTGCACAATCTCCCTAACACAGTTGTGCACCAATTAATTTTAAAATAATAATAAAAAACTTAAATTTCATCATAAGAAGACATAATATAATCATTTTTTTAACATGAAGATGTTGAAGAATAT